GACTACTTATTTTACACAGTCGATTTATATTTTGGTTGGTTGATTTTTTACTTTGTTGATTTATTTATACAGTTGATTTATTATTTTTATGTTTGTCGACTTAATATTCAGTTTCGTCGACTTATTTTAAGCTGTTGACTTATATTTTGATTGATTGATTTTTTACTTTGTCGACTTGTTTAACCATTGACTTATTTTTTTAGTTTTGTTGATTTATTATTAAAGTTCATCGACTTATTTTATACTGTTGACATATATTATCGTTTGCTTGATTTTTTACTTTGTCGACTTATTTAACCATTAACTTAATTTTCAGTTTTTGTCGACTTAATTTTCAGTTTCGTCGACTTATTTTTAACTGTTGACTTATATTTCGTTTGATTGACATTTTAAATTATCGACTTATTTAAACCTCTGACTTACTTTTGTAATTCGTCGACTTAAATATTTTTTTTGATCGATTTATTTTAAACTATCGATTTATATATTGGTTGATTGACTTTTTACTTTGTCGGCTTATTTAAACCATTGACTTAATTTTTATGTTCATCGACTTGACATACTATTATATGTGACAAAAAATTTATTAGATTATTAGATAGATGATATATTAGTTTTACATATTATAAATCAATTTTAAATAAAAATTAAGAAAATCAAATCATTTTTTTTTCTACCTTAATCTTGTTAAGTAAGGATAGATACGTCATTTCAACCTTTAAAATAGGATACTTTTCAAAGTGTAACAAATTTGGTATAAATTTCAAATTTTCAATAAGATTTAGGGTATACAAGCCAATTTTTCCTTTATGAATTGAAATCTCATTATTACATATAGTAAGTTAATGTTCGAATTCCTTTAATAGAATAAAAACTAGTATTAAGATCACTATATCATGTCAAATATTTACACTATTTCCAATGTATTTCTCTATTTTTGTTTTTTATTCTAAATTAGAGAAAATTATAGCATTCTTCTATTTCTTCTCCAATCCAATGTAACTCTATTTTAAAAAAATTGCTGTAAAACAAAGGAAAATAACAATTTTTCACTTTTTCCTCTATATATAGAAGAATGCTATAATTTTTTGTATTTTAGAGATATAAATAGAGGTGGGTTGGAGTATATTTTACTCTACAGTAGAGTTTAGGAAAAAATAGAGGTGGGTTGGAGATAGCTTTAATATTATATATTGCTATTCTATTGCTCTACAAAAGTATAACAAAAGAGTTCTTTTAATTACTTTTGGTATGTTCAAAAGATAAGACTCAAAACATGTATTGTTAAAAAAATTAGTTTTTCTTGTGTCGCATATGACTTTAATTTCTCTTCCTATTACAAATTATGTAAAGGATATAATCACATAATCCTCCTAATGTACTAAATATCTAATCGTAATGAAAAATTCATGGTGAAAGACTACCAATGAAGTGCTCTTAGCGCCTACAATTAGCAAATTATATAGTTACAGACTTACAGATAATATATCATGAAGTGGATCATTAGCCAAGTACATCTTTTTTAAAGTTTTAACTCGAATATTTATATCAAAATCTTATTTTTTGGATCAATTAATATCTGCTTTGATTAAAAGAAAAGTCTAAAAAGTAAAAAGCATGTTAGTGTCGATAAACAATTCCAACTTGTAAATTGATTAACAATGAAGAGACTAGCTACTCATATTTTACTACAATTTGGCCTCTTGCCATGTACAAAACAATACAAGAAACAAATGACTATAGTTTAAGAGCCAATGGCGATCGCCTGCGATGAGCTCGAAAGTACTCTTGGTCCGAGCACCGCCGAGGGTTCCTTAGGTGGAGGATGGAAATCAGCGAGGCTTATCATCGGTTAGTAAGTCCAGTCACTTTCACCAAAATAAGCTTCGTTGACTCTTAGAGATTCCTCTTCTTTTTCTTTGTTTGTAGGTGTCGAAATGGCGGAGCAGTTCGCCTTTTACGGGATTTCTTCGAACCTTATAATGTACTTGACGGGACCATTAGGAGAGTCGACAGCTACAGGTGCGGCCAATGTCAACGCCTGGAGTGGAACGGTGTCGTTTCTGGCACTTCTCTGGGGCTTTACCGCTGACTCGTTTCTCGGCCGTTTTCGTACTATACTACTCGCATCTTCTCTGTATATCTTGGTATATATAGCTATTTCCTCTCAAATATCTCTACCATTATCAAACAATTTCTAGACATTGTTTAAAACTTCATTTTTGCTCTGTTTTAAAAGATCCGGGCACTGTTCGACTGTTTCTGTTGCATAAAAGAAGATCCCGTTAACTATAATTTTGATCTATCAGCAGATTTTTAGTTATCTTTTTCTTCTGATTTGATGAAACAGGGACTTGGACTGCTTACGTCTTCAGCCATGATTTCTTCACACCGCAAAGATCCTAATCAACTCCAAGTGGCTATCTTCTTCTGCTCTTTGTATCTTATAGCCATAGGACATGGCGGTTACAACCCGTGTATTAAGGTATTTGGAGCTGATCAATTTGATGGAAATGACTTGCAAGAAACAAAAGCCAAAAGCTCTTACTTTAACTGGTTAATGTTTGGAAGCTGTACTAGCATGTTGGCGACTCGTCTGATCTCTATCTTCATCCAAGAGAACCTAAGTTGGTCCTTGGGATTTGGTATTCCAAGTGTTTCCATGGTACTTTCTCTACTTCTCTTCCTACTTGGAACTAAGACTTATCGTTTTAGCACTGCAAGAGTTGGAAAGCAAAACCCTTTTGCCAGAGTTAGTCATGTTTTTATGGAAGCTTTAAAGAACAGAAGAAGACAACCAGATTTAGATATAAATGACCGCAACGAGACCCTCCTCCTCCCTAGCCAAAATTCAAAACAATTCAGGTAAAATTATATAGAGAGATGTTACTTTTCTTTAGCATCCTTTTAAGTCACGTTAGTGCTTATACCATTTTGGTTCCTCTATATGGCAGATTCCTTGACAGGGCGGCGATTTCGTGTGATTTGGCTGATATTGAAGAAGCCAATGCGGTGCTTAAACTTGTTCCAATATGGATGACTTCCTTAGTGTACGCCATTGTATGTGCACAATCCCACACTTTCTTCACAAAGCAAGGAGCCACAATGGACAGGTCAATCTCACCGGGACTCTTAGTCCCTGCAGCTACACTCCAATGTTTCATAAGCCTAGCAATGGTCATTTTCATCCCAATCTACGACTGTCTACTTGTCCCTATCGCTAGATCCTTCACTCAAAACCCATCAGGAATCACAATGCTTCAAAGAATTGGTTCAGGCATCTCTTTGTCTATTCTTGGTATGGTAGTAGCTGCTTTGGTCGAGACCAAAAGGCTCCAAGCCGCTCGGGATGATGTCATCGTACCCATTAGCGTGTGGTGGTTGGTTCCACAGTACGTAATCATTGGAGTATCCAAAGTGTTAACAATGGTGGGCTTGCAAGAGCTTTTCTATGACCAAGTCCCTAGTGAGCTTAGGACCGTTGGTATGGCTCTGAATCTAAGCATATACGGGGTCGGCGACTTCCTAAGCAGCTTCATGATATCAATCATCGACAAAGCCACGAGCCAGTCTGGTCAAACGAGCTGGTTCGATAACGACCTGAACAAAGCTCATCTAGATTATTTCTATTGGCTACTGGCTTGTCTCAGCTTCATTGGTTTAGCCTCTTACTTGTGGTTCGCTAAATCATATGTGTACAACAGACCAAACACCTTATAAAGCATTGTCTTCTCTGTTTTCTGCCAACGGAACCAACAAAATTCGAGATTTACATTTTAGCATTTATGATTTGGAAAATTATTCCATTAAGTCAAATTGGAGTCTCTTTTATAGAATGACAACTACTTATAAGAACTCAGTCATGTTAAATTATTATGTCGTAACTCCTAATGCTCTTTGGTTTTGTCCTAGATAATGTTC